ACCACTAAGGCCCAACAAGAATTTCACTGTGATGTCTGCAGACAGAGGTGAGTATACGAATTGTTGTGTGTTAAAGATGTACTGAACAAGCTCATTCTTATAAATACTATTTGGAAGATCTTTGATATTAAAATCATCCAGAAATGAGTAACTGTGATGTCCTGCGTCATGGGAGTCAATTAACACATTACTAGCAGCAGTCCCTGAAACAACTCTCATCTCCTTGAAGATGGCACTGTGCAAATGTCTAATGGAAATAATATACAGGTCTCTCTCTAGTATTGTTACTTCAGTTGTGGGCATAGAATCTGATAAGCCAGGAAAAACCCTTATGACAGCTGTAAATGAAATATTATTGTGACCCTTTTAACAGAAATCTAGTAGAAATATATTTTTTTTAAAAAATCAGATTAATCGGGGTACAGTTATGAACAGAGACTTAAGCTTTTTTTTCTTCAAAGGGCATTAGCTTTCAAATTCACTGCATGTATTTCTTTTCCTTTAATTTTATTTTTTCTTTCAAGTTAACTCAGTGCTTGTGAATAACACCAAAATGATAGCCACAGCACTGTAAATTTGTTTGTCTGAGAACAGATTCTGCACAAGCAGTGCAAAATTTCCTTCACAGACTGCCCTGTCATCCAGACACTCACCCAAGAGGGAAAAAAAAACCTGTAAAAACTGAGCGTGCATTCAGAAAGAGGTGTTCATTTAAGCCTGATGGAAGGTGGTCAACATTAATTTCATTATATTAAAAACTATCCACTATAATATGCATAAATGAGTTCTATGCTCATATTTCAGATGCAGAGGATAAATTATTAGGTTTCAGAAAAACACTCTGTTCTGGTCACAGATATAGAACTCTGCTTTCTCCAAATCAGCACTGTTTCTGCCTTGATATATGGTGAAACCTCTGAAGATGATGAGGCTTTCTCAGGACTCAGTCAGATGAAAAATACCTTATTGTTACGTGCACCCTGTACTGCCATAAGGCAGTTGTGACTATTAAATTTTTCAGGTGGTGGGAATCATAAAAAAAAAAAATCTGTAGCAGTTTGTACGTGAGCATATATAACGTAATGGAGTTTTAAAGAACAAAATGTTGCAAAACATATAGGTTATTCATTAGCAAGATAATATCTGGCAAGCTGAGAATATTTAGTTTTTGCGCACTTGAAAACAGAAGAAAAATGGCTATTGCCTCGAAGAGGACTTACAAGTTGCCACGCACCTGTCTCTGCAAGCTTGAGGACAGCCAGCAAAAATCCTTACTAAGAGCAACTGTGCAGGTGTACAACATGAGAAAGATGTAATGCATTTACACACTAGGAACGCAAAGACGCATATATAAATGGAAGCATGCTACATGTACAACAAGTAAAAACTTCTGTTAGTATTATTTTGATAATGAAGAATCTATACTGTTCTCATCTATTTTGTTCTCTTGAACTTTCATTTTCTTATGCTGCCTCTGCATGTCACTGTAGAAACACAACAATAAAGAAAGGTTACAGCAAGATTTATGATGTTCTGGTGGGGTTGCACCCCTTTGAGCTACCCCTGCATAAGGGCAATTAAAACTGCTATATCTTGTTAGTGGTTATAAACTGTGTTTGGACATGGCCACGCTTGAGGATCTGATACTCTGATGACTTCTATCACCATTCGGTGAGGACTGAGCTTTGGCACAAAAAAAGAATCATGAACTTTTTTATCTTAATCCACACATGTGCTCTTTTGCATGTGTGGATTTTGCATGTCTTTTGCAAGCTCTTCGGGAGCTTCACAGTACCAGGAAAACACATAAACCACAGCAAAGTACATGAGCAAGCCTTATTTTACAGCAAGCCTTCCAGCATCCCTTCGTTTTTCATGGGTCACGTGGCAACACCATATTCCAATTTTGCTTTTTAGCCTGGTTCTCCTTACATGTATCTCTACTAAAGGGGACTATCTTTTATTTGGTAATCTGATGGATTTTTGTGGCTCTTCCATATTATGCAAGCAGAGGATTTCCAAACTTTGATTTAATATTCAGGTTAAATGGCTTTTAATGAATCAACATGAAGCACTATTTCAAGATCCCTAACTGTGAGCTAGGCTAATCCCCATCAGTTTCTAAACTATACCGTGATTTGCAACCTGACACTTCTTGAGTTAGTCTTCTAAAAACAGACATAAAAGGAATTAAGTGCGTTGGCCGATAACAGCTGACATTATTGCTGTAAATCTGTGTTCTCTTACCAAAATTAACTAGTCAACCCTAACTGTTTAATGAAATTGTCAGCTGATTTAATAGATGCATTAAACTCCTATTTATAAATTACTGTGGCATTATTAGTGCAGCAGTTCTATAATAAGTAATATAAATGCCAATGCACATGTCACTATATTGTGTCTAGTTATGATGGCTGGAAGAAGAAGATAAAAAAACTGTGATTTCAGGTTACATGAAATATCCTGCACTTTATCATGTACTTAATATCACTTTAAAATATAGCACAGTAGTATTATAAAAAGAATTACTTTAAAAATATATGATTTTGCAATAAAGCTAAATTATGGTAAATATAAACCAAATTTATTTCTGTGATCAGTCAAGAACTCAATTGCATTTCATACCTTAAAAAATTTCTGATTTAAAAAAATTACATAAGTTCTAAAGATATTGATTAGCCACTGTTGAGCATATATCAGTCTGTTGACAATGGTTTGAATTTATATTAATCATGGCTTTCACTATCTGGATTTAAAAGCACAATTTCTCTAAAGGGCTTCTCCCATTCAGTGCTCTACCTTCTTTGAGGGCTTTGTGGAAAATAAGGGGAAAACACTAACATCTGCATCTTGTTTTCTGGGGTTTTTTTGGTTTTGGGTTTTTTTTTGTTTTTTTTTTTTTTTTTTTAAAGAGATTAGGCAAAGATGACCTGCAAAAACTGGCAGGTTCTTTTTTCAGGTATATTGAAGCAAATAGTTAATATAGATAAAATAAGTTATAATAAACATCAAAAGGATGCCAAGCAGATAATAAACATTGAAAAAAAAGATCATCTGGAATGAACTGCATTATTATAGAAGCAGATTTTTTTACTTAATGTTACTGACGTGCTAATTCAACATCCTAATTTAATTTGTGTTTCACCACCAAGATCCTTCCGTATTTTATTTTATTTATACAGTAACAGTGGTATATGATACCCTGTCAAGAAATATCACTATTGTGTGTGCTACACTGTAATTAGATCTTTCCTCATATTTGAAAAGTGTCTTTTCCACAACTTGTAAGAGTTCAAAAAAGTCTTAAGAGTTAAAAACATGCCAGGTAAATCTGTGATGTGATAAGTGTTACTCTTAATGAAAATATCCCATTAGTTCTGAAGTTGCTTATAAGCTCAAATTCATGTATCGATAACAGTAAATTTTGTGCAAAATTAATATTATTTTGACAGCTTAGAACTGACCCTAAATGACTACCCAGACTATCTTACATAAAGGAATAAAGACTAATGAATTACAGTGGTGCAAGAAATAACGTCTCTGCCTTCTGAGGTAAAATGTACAGCAATCACATTGCCTGTGCTACAGCATCAAATGTGATTAGAGTCCTCATTTGCATCTTTAGCGAGTGGCCAGAACAAAGATATGTGTTAGAGAAAGTGTAATTTGTATCAACCAGATGTCACAAAGATGCAATTTTTCATTATGTGATCCCCCTCTCTTTAGCTTGTAAAACAAACTCATATATTATCTTTGTGATATAAACATACTGTTTTGCAAATTGTTTTGACTATATGTTTTAGTGCTTAACACTAATGCCTACATGTGTAATATCCAAGTAAATTTTTGTCTGGTTTGTCAAATCATCTAGTGAACCACATGTAGTATTTTGCTGCTTTATTTATACATCCTCTACTCAGAATAGTTTCTTGGAAGGGTAGGAGAGAAAATTAATTTTTGCTGAATTTTATTTATATTTAGAAAAAAACCACACATTCCCAGCTTTTACATAAAAAAAAACCCAAAAAACATGGTATTGAAGTAAAAACTGAAGTATGATACCTCATTTTTATGGTAGGTGAATTTGAACCTCACTGTCTAGGGAAGTGGCATTTGGGGACCCGGGAAATGAATCCTTGACCTCTTATTTTCATTAAGGGCCTTTACTTAAACTGAAAATTATACATAGCATGCAATTATATACTGTGCTACTATTTTTTTCAGGTCTCGTTTTCAGCTTTCCTTTCTGAAAACTGTATTGTCTAAATTCACCCCCCACACCCCTGGAACAGTTGGCTATCAAATTACTTATGCCCTATTACAGAAACAGTGGTCAAATAGTGAGAGAGAGAATTGCATAAATTCTCTGCATGTGTGAATATGCATGTCTGCACACAGAGTATAAAAGCTAAAATGCAAGAGTTTGAATTATGAAGCAATAAAACATATTAGAAATACTTGAAAACAATTTGAACAATCAGAAATAAAAGCAAATGATACTGAGGCATAAGATAACAGAGCAAAAAGCAGGTATTTTCGTTCACTGAAAACTGGCTTGAAGTAACCATACCGATCACAGAAATGACTGTGCATTCTGGGCTGCAGATTTCTGGTTTAAATCTTATCTCTGATATTAGTCTGACATTCATTGCTAAAAATCAAGTATGCTATTACAGTAGATTCAATTAAAGTTAGTTGTGCACCATGAACTTATCTCAGAACTCCCATTTTTTTTTGTTTTATTCCAAAACCATGGATAAGAAAGGAAAATAAGAAAAACATACAAAGGTAGAAAGTAAATGTTATAAACTTGTGCACTAAAAGTAATAGTAATAATGTCTATAGTGGCTATTTGAGAGTCTGAATGGTGAAGGGGATGGACAGAGGGAACTACTGTCAGTTGAAGAAGATTTGCCCCACCAGAAACAGCTACACATTTATAGCACATTTTACTATTTCTCTGTGTCATTTCAACTTTTAAAGAAAGAGTAAAAAATTACCTTTCCCACATACTGAGGTTCGGAGCCCATGTACTCCTCCAGCACAAAAAATTGATTCCACACCCAGCCTCGTTTGACTCGCTGGGCAGATGACCTCCTCCCTGGCACTGGGACAACATTTTCTCTTGGCTCTGCTTCTAAAGTCTGTTGTGGTTGCGGATGCAGTGGCGTTAGGAGACCTCCATCAAACAGGACCCAGAGAAGCAGGGATAAGCAGTTCCTTGTAAGCATTGGCAACGGCTTCCCTACAGCAAGTAATAAAAACTCCAGCACTTAATGCAGAGCAGAGGAATCCAGGTTTGAGGTGTCTGTGGCCTCCACCACTTAGCTTCTGATTTTATTGAGGAAATGCTAATGTAGGCATTAATCCTTCTGATGACAAGGTTTTTGCCGCATTAAATTCCATCTAAAGGGACCTATAAAAGAGATTTACATGGCAACATCAAATTACATAAAATTACATTGAAGCGTTCATCAAAATTCTCACACCTAGTTAGTTTCTAGAGACAGAGAAAAAGATTAGGAATCACAGTTTTAAAAGAGATTGCTATTTTGATTGTAGCACTGAGTTGCTCTAGAACATTGTACAGTTATTACAGAAATAGCTCATTCTTGCTCTGCTTAGCATTACGTTTGTGTCTGTCTGAGGACAGGCCCATAGCCTTTGCTTTATGACCCAGTTATCAGACAAAACAGTTACCCATCAGTGATGTAAAAAATATTTACTCCGGATTTACACAAATAATACTGGGGAAGAGGGGACCCAGTCTTCCATCCTACTGTCCAG